GGGTTTCACCATGTTGATCAGGATGGTCTCAATCTCTTGACCTCGTGATCCACCCGCCTCGGCCTCCCACAGTGCTGGGATTACAGGCTTGAGCCACCGCGCCCAGCAGAGTACATCACATTTCTTAAGGAAAGCAGCACGTTTTTTTCCTGCCCCACTCCCCACATTATAAGCTCCTTGAGAGCAAGAACCATGTCTAATTCATGGTGTAGTCCCAGAGATGGTCCAGACCTGGCACAGCGTGGACCCTAAACACATGTTTGTAGAATCAACAGCCCAATTGATGCTGTGTGGCAGCAGTGGCTTCCAGCCCAGTCAGTCAGCACTTTTTCCCAGTTGCACTCTCTTGGGGCTCACCCACTCTCCTGTTCTACAATCAGCTAGGAAGCACTGTATTTCCAAGGCCTTTCAGAAGCAGCCTCCCAGGTCACTGATAACAACCAGATAGAATCACTCCTCACTTAGATGGTTTCTCGTCACTTATTACTCATCAATTTCTTCCAAATCCTCTTAAAAACTGTGCTCATCACTGAGTGCTCTCTGGCTTTCATGGTAACACTTATCTGTGGGGCACATATGCATTAACATACTTACGGGAGACATTTATGACCAATGGTCATTGAACTCACGCAGGAACTACTGTGACCAGTTTCAGCATGACAGAGCTCTTTCACTCCTTCCCACCTTGTGATCACTTCTCTCTGTGATACAGGCTCATAGCTTGGTCAGGCAGACAGGCTAGAAAACCTGACAGGCAAGGAAACAAACCAAAACTGCTGTCCTGTTTACAAAACCTTTCTGCATTCCCAAGAATCTGGCTAGTGGCTGTCATTCACAGACTGCGTCTGAATTCAAGGCAGGAAAGAAGAAACAGATCCTGCCCCCAAGCCACCCAGTACCAATGCTGCCACCCCACCAGTACTCACGCCTTGACATCTGCCGTCTCCTGGGACGTGCGTGTGAGCGTACGGGAACGCAGGCGCTCACCCGCCTGCTGGATCTCCTGTAAGTTCCGTTCCACATGGGGAAGCTCTGAGATGCCCTCAGTCTCAGCAGCAAGCTGTTCAGCTTGCTGAAGGAGCTCACCAAACCCCTCAGTATCCATTGGAGATGCAGATCCTAGATGGGAGAAAAAAAATGAAAAGATCTAAATCAAGGGAAAGACAGGTTTCAAACACTGCCTGAATCTGTTACAAGCTTAACAAAACAGCAGAACTTTTTGTAAACAGATGAGGACACAGCTCATCAACAAGCAGGATTTGTTCCTGAACATAGCCCAAGAACAGGCCTGACAGAGAAAATGAGTCAGGCTGTGAAAAAAACAGATCATTTCTGTGCATATTGACAGCCCAAGATTGATTTCTGCCATTAGAACAAATGCACAGATAATCAAGTCACAGACTAGAATTCCTGCCTCCTTCCACAGACTCAAAGCAGATAAGGAAATGGAAACCATTGTGGCAATCTCTAGGAGGCTTAAAGAACAGTCACCCTGCACCTCTTATTCTCCACCCATCTTAGAAAAACACTATCACCCCAAAAGCACCAAGCTACGAATAAGACTTTATCTCAAGTGATTCTCACAATGACTCTGTGAGGCTCCTGGGTAGAAAAAGAACCAATTCCAGTTCACAGAGGCTGAGTTACATGCCGAGAATACTCTCTAATGTGATTTGGCACCAGAAAAACATAGGCATTCTTCGGACTAACCACCACTAACTCTCCCTCTCTCCCTTACTGTTACTCTAACACACCTGCTCCTTCACTAGCATAGAAATTCTTTTTTTTTTTTTTTAATATTCATGTCCAGGTCTCCATTCACACATTCTTTATCTTACAAGGTTACTGAGAGCACAGACTTGTGCCTCATTGTTATACGAGACTTCAGAACATTAGATTTGTTACTGCACCTACTACTTTTAGAAATGCCATTACTACTAATAATTATACTCATATAAATGGTATCTGGCTTCTAGACTGTGACTATTATTAGCAAGACCACCTTTTCTCCAACAACTGATCTAGAAAAGCCCTATGAAGAGTGTTGATATTTGATAGTGTACATTTATGAATCTTATATATAAGAATAGTACAGAATATATACTGTACTATTCTTGTATAGGTTCTTGACCAAGAGAATTTTTTAACTCCTACCACTAATTAAATCAACAGAAGATTAAAAAGTATCACTATGGTAAGAAAATTGGCTGGGCACGGTGGATCATGCCTGTAGTCCCAGAACTCTTGGGAGGCCAAGGTGGGCAGATCGCCTGACATCAGGAGTTTGAGACCAGCCTGGCCAACATGGCAAAACCCCGTCTCTACTAAAAATACAAAAATTAGCTGGGTGTGGTGGCATGCATCTATAATCCCAGCTACTAGGGAGGCTGAGGCAGGAGGATCACTTGAACCTGGGAGGCAAAAGGTTGCAGTGAGCCAAGATCATGCCACTGCAGTCCAGCCTGGGTGACAGAGTGAGACCCTGTCTTGAAAAAAAAGA